AACTCATGAGAGACAGAGAGAGAGGCAGAGGCAGAGGGAGAAGCAGGCTCTCCACTGAGCAGGGAGCCCAATGTGGGGCTCTTTTCCAGGACCCTGGGATCATGACCTGAGCCGAAGGCAGATGCTTAACCCACTGAGCCACCCAGATGCCCTGAAAGCAAGACTTTAATATTTACATACTTATGTTCACAGGAGCGTCATTCACAATAGTCAAAAGGTAGAAATCATCCAATGTCTGTCAACAGATGAATGGATAAACGAAATGTGGTGATGTGGTATATACATTCATTGAAATATTATTCAAACTTAGAAAAATGGGGGGACGCCTGGCTGGCTCAGTCAGCAGAGCATGCATCTCTTGATCTCAGGGTTGTTGAGTTCCAGCCCCATGCTCGGTGTAGAGATTACTTAAAAAAATAAAATCTTGGTATGTCCGACATCGGGCTCCTTGCTCAGTGGAGAACCTGCTTCTCTCCTTCGGCCTGCCGTTCCCCTATTTGTGCTCTCTCTCTCTCTGACAAATACATAAATAAAATCTTAAAAATAAATAAATAAAATTTTAAAAATATGTACATATTTAAATAAAAAATAAAAAGGAAGGAAATACTGATAAATGCAACCACATGCTTGAAACTTGAGAAAACTGTTAAGCAAAAAAAGCCAGACACAAAAGAACAAAGATATGATATTTGTAAATTCACTTACATGAGGTACATAGAATAGTCAAGTTCACAGAGAAAAGAAGTAGAATAGTAGAGAAGGGAATGGGGAGTTAATGTTTAATGCCATGGTATTTCAGTGTGGGATGATGGAAAAGTTCTGGAGATGGACAGTGGTGACTGTTGTACAACAATGGGTATGTACTTAATGCCACTGGAATTGTGCACTCAAAAAGGGTTAAGATGATAAATTTTATGTTATGCATATTTCAGCACAATTTTAAAAAAGTCACAGGAGGACTGAGATGGCAAGAGCTTAGTGAGCAAGGGAAGGATGACAGGGAACATGAAGGAAAGGTAACATGAGCCCTACAGGCCAGGGAAGGCCTTCAGGTTTTCTTTCTTTCTTTTTTTTAAGATTTATTTGAGAGAAAGGGAGACATAGAAGGAGCACAAGTACGGCGTAGGCGGGAGGGAAAGAGAGAAGTAGGCTCCCTGCTGGGGCTCGATCCCAGGACCCCGGGAATCATGACCTGAGTGGAAGGCAGACGCTAACTGACTGAGCCACCCAGACGCCCCTGATTCACATTTTTAAAGGCTCACTCTGGCTGCTGTGTGAAGAGGCTTAAGGTGGCAAGACAGAACTAGAAAAAGGGCCAGAAGGCCACTGCAGTCACCCAGGTAATTCCTGAGATTAATTCAGAATCTCTTGAAGGTTTCCAAATGGCATTAATCATGATGTACTCTTCATCTTGGCAGAGAAGATGGGGGCCTTTCCCAGGACAGAGCCCTGCTCCAACAGAGACTGAGTTAGTGCGTGAGTGGATAGGGGGAGCACGCATGCACACAGGCACACACACAGGCACGTGCCCATGCGCAGGTAAGAATAAGGGGCTCACTGCTTCAGGTTCTAGCAAGGAAGTGAATTCCCAGGGCATGATCCTCTCCCCAGGAGCACTTCCACACCAAATCTAGGTCTTTAATTCAAGGCTTTTCTAGAAGAAGATATTATTATATAGGAGATAATGCCTGCCTATCTCCTCTGAGGCTGGAATGGGAACAAAAATCTCTACCTAGGAATTGCTGAGCCTCTAAATTTCCACCAATGGTGGTGTTTAGCCCACTTCTGGACCTCCTAGGTTTGTTACACCAGAACGATGGCAGAGGGGGAAGTTTCATGTGCAGAAAGGTGGCGCTGACCTTGCCCCTACCTCTAATAGGGGTAGGCAAACTTTTTCCATAAAAGGCCAAAAATTTTAGGAGGCCAAATATGGTCTTTGTCAAACAATCTTCTTTGTGCTGGTTTTGGTTTGGTTTGATTAGTTGGTTGTTTTCATCATAAAATATATATAACAGGGGTACCTGGGTGGCTCAGTCAGTTGAGCCTCTGACTCTTGACTTTGGCTCAGGTCATGATCTCAGGGTCATGACACTGAGCCCTGCGTCAGGCAAGCATAGAGCATGCTTGGGATTCTCTCTCTCCTTCTTTCTGCCCCTCCCCCCGCAGCTCATCCTCTCCTTCTCTCTCTCTCTAAAAAAAAAAAAAAAAAAAAAAAGTGTGTGTGCACACACATATATAAATGTTTTAATTTAAAAAATAAAATATTTTAATTTTTTAATTTAAAATTTTTTAATTAAAAAAATAAAATATGGGGTGCCTGGGTGGCTCAGTGAATTAAAGCCTCTGCCTTCAGCTCAGGTCATGATCCCAGGGTCCTGGGAACGAGCCCCACATCGGGCTCTCTGCTCAGCAGGGAGCCTGCTTCCCTTCCTCTCTCTCTCTGCCTGCCTCTCTGCCTACTTATGATCTCTGTCTGTCAAATAGATAAATAAAAGCTAAAAAAAAAAATCTTAAAAAAAATAAAATATACATAACATAAAAGTTACGATTTTAGCCATTTTTAAATTTTCTTTCTTTTTTTTTGTAGTGAGAGAGGACTCAAGAGCAGAAGGGTGAGGTTGGAGGGAGAGGGGGAGAGAGAATCTTAAGCAAGCTCCACGACCAGCGCAAAGCCCCGATGTGGGGCTCCATCTCACAACCCTGAGATCACAACCTGAGCGGAAATCAAGAGTCACATGTTTAACCAACTGAGCCACCCAGGCCCTCCACCATTTTAACCACTTTTAAGTGTACAGTTCTGTGGCATTAAGCACATTCACATTAGCATGTAACCAACACTGCAATTAGTCTCCAGAACTTTTTACATCCTGTAAAACCGAAACTCTGTAGCAGTTAAACATTAATTCCTCATTCCACCTCCACCTTCCAGCCTGTGGCAACCACCATTCTACTTTCTATCTCAAGAATCTGACTACTCAAAGAACCTCATATAAAAGGAAACTCACATAAGAAATGGTGGACAGGGGCGCCTGGGTGGCTCAGTGGTTAAAGCCTCTGCCTTCGGCTCAGGTCATGATCCCAGGGTTCTGGGATAGAGTTCTGCATTTGGGCTCTCTGCTCAGCAGGGAGCCTGCCTCCTCCTCCTCTCTCTCTCTGCCTGCCTCTCTGCCTACTTGTGATCTGTCTGTTAAAAAAAAAAAAAAAAAAAATTCTTAAAAAAAAAAAAAAAAAGAAATGGTGGACAATGGGTTGCTTCCACCTTTTAGCTATTATGAATAACGCCACTATGAACATGGGTGTACAAATATCTATTTAAGTCTCTTTCAATTCTTGTGGGTATATACACAGACGCGAAACTGCTGAATCGTATGATAATTCTGTGTTTAATTTTTTTGAGGACTCAACACACTTTTCCACAGCAGATGCATCCACCACCAACAATGCACAAGCATTCCAATTTCTCCACATCTTTGTCCACACCTATAACTTTCTGTGTTTGGTTGGTTGTTTTTTTTAGTAATAGCCATCGTAATGGGTGTAAAGTGGTATCTTATTGTGGTTTTGCCTTGTATTTACCTAATGATTAGCGGTACTAAACATCTTTTCAAGTACTTACTGGCCATTTATATATCCTCTTAAGGAATTTACTATGTTCTCCATTATTTTATAGTTGTGCCTCGCCTACTGACAAGTAGGAACAGCACCTTTTACCCTTTATAAACCGCCTTCTCACATATTCCTTATCTCATCTGAGTGAAAACTGGATACTGGGCTGCTTAGACCTTGGTCTCTTGTCTAGACAATGGCCTCACCCAACTCCCTTAGTAGCAGCTCATCTACCCACCCCCACCTCTGAGTGATAGACATATCAACAGCTCCCAACCTCCTTCCTCCGAGTTCTCGATTTCAGGGTTCCAACACACAGGCAGGATTTGATGCAAAATGTCCAAAATAATTTCTCACTATTAATGAAGTACATATTAAACAGTTTACAAATGCAGAGCATTCAGAATAGTGCCCATCACATAGGAAGCACTATATAGATGTTAGGCATTATTAATATTAAATTTTAAGAGTTATGAGACAGGTCTAGCAGATGCTTTTGGTGCTCTGTACACATCAATAGCCAACTTCTGATTTCAGCTGCAGCTGCAGGAGACAGTGATGTGCAGGCTGACAGCATCTCTTCCCCCAGAACCCTACTGATCTTGCCCAGAGCTTCCTCTTCTCACAAGCTCACACAGCTCATGAAGTATAGGGACATTCGAAGGCATTAACTTTCATCTGATGAATTATTCGCCTCCCTTTCCTACATTGCTACAACCTCCACCGTTATCCAGGGGATGATAACACAAACCCTAATTACAGCTTGATCAGTTAGAATCCCACTCCCTGGCACCTTTATCAACACCTTCCCGTGGAACTTCAGGCCCTCTCGCTTTACTCTTCTGATCCTCCCGCTTTGAGCTCACTAGCACATTTTCAGAGGGCAACAATGGGCTGGGCTGGAAAACAGATGGCAGAATCACAGGTCACATTGCCAAGAAAGGGATGGCAAGGGAGGGCAGGAGCCTTGAGACAGGACTTTTTTCCGCCCTAGGCTTAAGCGGAGTTAAGTCAGCCTTCAGGGGGTGACCGTAAGAAGTAGCTCAAGGGAGAAAAGACAAAAGCGGACTCAGAGGCTGACACTGCGCAGGCGCAGGGAGGGGACTAGGGTTCCCTCTCAGGCTCACCCAGCTACCTCTCCTAGGCAAAGGCCAGAGGGAGAGCACCGTACCCAGCGCTAGAAGCCTCCCTTCTGGGTACCCCAACTCCTCGTGAGGCTGTCAGACCATCCAGGAAACGTCTGGGAAACCACCTTCTGAGGCTGTCGGGCCGTCCCTCATTCCCCGCCTAGGGCCCGCCGGAATCTGTAAAGCGGCTGCCAGCGATGGCGAGGCGCCAGGAGAGAAAGGGCCACCAGGGCGGTCGGATTCGGCCCTCCTCGCCACAGTTCTCACCTCTTTGTCCGCCGCTTTCTCCTCGATACCTAGCAGCGCATACAGGTCCATCTGTAAGAGCTCCTTGGCCACCGCCATGGTTCCAACCCTGACTGGATTCGTACTACAACTCCCAAGAGCCTAAGCGTGCGTAGGGATTCCCCAGGACCGTCACCGGGAAACGGGCTGAGTGGCGCTTAGCCCCCTGGGAAATGTGTTCTGGATCAGGCTTGACTGTCTCTGAGGGAAGGGAGGAGCCGCGAATGAACTACGCCTCCCAGCAGCCACCGCGCCTGCCGCGGCCACTCTCCGGCTAGAGTGGCCGAACGCGATTTTGCTGCGAGAGGCCGCAGCAAGCCCGCGCGAGGGGGCGTGGGACGGGGGCGGAGCTTAGTGAAACTCGGAGGGTCTCGGGACTTCGCGGGAGCGATCTCTCAGCTCTGTGGAACCTGTGGTGCTTCGCCGGCCATCTGAATGGAGAGTAGGTGCTACGGATGCGCTGTCAAGTTTACCCTCTTCAAGAAGGAGGCGAGTCTTCTCCCCGCGGGCTAGAGGGCCAGGGAGGATGTGGAGTGGAGGAAAAGCACAGGACTTGAAGTCCGTAGACTTGGTTTTATGGCCCTTTTCCAGCTCTGTGGTTTTGATGAAGTCACTCAACTTCAGTTTCCATTTCTATAAAATGGGCTTAACGCTCCCTCGCTTTCGGGGTTGACATGAAGGTCCAGAGAGGTGCTGGAGGTGAAAGTGCCCTATAAACTGTAGAGCACGCTTCTGTCCTTTCTAGAAAGGTAGGCTTTCCTGTCCACCAAGTGTAATATGCAGCTGTTTCCTTCCCTCCACCCTGCTCCTCCGCAGCCCAGTCTTAGTTACTATCCTGTGACCACCCATCACACTATGCCCGTTACTCCCTTTGTTCTGAAACCTTCACCGTCATGCAGCCTGCCCTTCCCAGGTTTCTTGAGTTAAATTACTGCCCTTCCTTCTGCTCCCGGAGCACCATGGCAAAGTCTCGTTCTCTGCACCGGCCCCTAAGTTCTCCAGGTAAACTATAGGCTTTCTCTGCCCACTTGTGACCAGGAGATAGAAACCAGATTGGATGAATGAATAGCAGTAGGAATGCAGATCTGTGTAACACTTAGAAATCTGGGTTTTGGAATCAGGGTGGTCAGGGTTCAGATTTGAGCTCTGCTGTCTCATTCGTGAAATGAGCTTGGTTTGGACAAGTCATGTAACCCCTCTGACCCCATCTAAGATAGGAATAATAATGGTGGTCATCAGGATTAAGTAAAGTAGTGTCTATAAATTATATGGATCATATCAGATGATGAATATTAAGTACTGAATTTAGTGCCTGGCACACAGTAAGTGCTTAATAAATAGAGGCTATTGTTATCCCATACTGAAGCCAAGCCACCCTTCATCTCTGCTGAGGCAGAGAAGGCAGGGACTCTATACTCTCTGATACTCCTTTGTTGAAGAGTTAGTGACTTGCAGCATGAAGTTTTTCCTGTTTGTTTTCTACACCCCAGCATCAGGGAATTGAAGACAAGAGTAGAAAGCATGGGAATTTTGCATAAAGCTTTATTTGATTTGAATAAATCCACCCCTCTCTCTCCCTAGGCCTTAGGGGCCCCACTGCTCATCCTCCTCCCAGCAGTTGTCACAACTTCATGCCTTCCCTCTCTGTGTGCTTGGAGAGTCACAGGGAGGAGCCTGCAGGGGAGGGTGAGAGATGGAACCTCCTACTTCGTGTTTCTTGTAGTATGGCTGTAAGAACTGTGGCCGGGCCTTCTGTTCTGGCTGCCTTAGCTTCAGTGCAGTGGTGCCTCGGACTGGGAATACCCAACAGAAAGTCTGCAAGCAGTGCCATGAGGTCCTGACCAGGTGAGAAGTTGACATGGGCAAGGGTTTAGCCAAGCATGGTACCAATCAGCTGGCCAGCCCACACAGCTTTGTGCTCTGTGGCTAGAAATCAGCTCCAGAAGTGTTTGGGTGGGAGGCATTGACTGGCAGATGGCGGGACTTCTGATACCAGATTTCTTCCCTATAGAGGGTCATCTTCTGCCAATGCTTCCAAGTGGTCACCACCTCAGAACTATAAGAAGTAAGTGCTGAACGGACAGAGACAAATAGGGATGGGAAAAAGACAAAGGAGCCATAGGGCAGGACTCTCTTCCCACCCTCTAGATCAAATGAGCACAGGGTCAAGAGAATGTCATATCTCAGCCTCCTGATGCCCTTTTGGGCTCAGACAGTAGCTTCTCAGCCCTCGCCCCAAAAACACTTCTTGGTAGACCTTGTCCTCTCAGTCAGACCCTCCGATTGGTCAGCTGGATTGGGCTGCAGGGTGACATGAATGAGGCCCACAGAATATTGTCCACTGGAGTCCTCCCTGGATGCCTAGAAGTGATTTGAATGGGAAATGGTGAGTGGGTGCCTTCACCCCTCCCTTCTGCATTCTTCAATCTCATTCTTCAATCTTCAGTTCTCATATCTCATACCCTACCAGGCGTGTGGCTGCCTTGGAAGCCAAGCAGAAGCCCAGCACTCCCCAGAGCCAGGGACTGATCCATCAAGACCAAGTTATCGCTGAGCGCCTAGCACGGCTCCGCCAACAGAACAAGCCCAGTGAGTGGGGGCAGACCGGGTGACCTAAAAGAACCATCCAGACCTCCTGGGACTAGGATTCCTTGGGATCTTACAGGGCTTCTCCCTACCACTTTCAGAGTCAGTGGCCTCACAGGCGGAGATAGAAGCCAGGCTAGCTGCGCTGAGGGATGAACCCCGGGGTTCCATCCCTTCCACCCAAGAAATGGAGGCACGGCTTGCTGCACTGCAGGGCAGAGTTCCACCTTCTCAGATCCCCCAGCTTGTGAGTTCTTGGGGGGTACAGGGGTCCTAGGATAAGGACCTTGCAGAAGCCCAGACACATGTATGCTTATGTACTTCGTAGAAATTGACAAAACCTACCCACCCCAACCTCATGATCCTCAGGCCTGCGTCGAGGCCAAGGAACCAGGGACAAGCAGCATGATGGGGTGGGACAGGAAAGAATGGCCAGATCTACTCAATTATGTGGGCCCTGGATTAGTCCCCTTTCCCTGAGCTTTGGAAATGTCAGCATCCACCCCTAACCTAGACTGTTCTGTGCCTTACGGCGTTACTTTTCCCCCTGCCCTGCTCCCCACTGAAGTTACTTCCTCTGAGCAGGCACATCAGCCACCAGACACCAGAACCCAAGCCCAGCAGGCACAGGATCTGCTGACAGAGCTGGCAGCACAAGTGGCTATTGATGAGAGCTGTCAACAAGGAGGCCCAGGTAACTTCTCCACCTGGGTCCCCCAGGGACCTGCCCCCCACTCTTTCCCCAAGTAGGATGGGCTCTGCTGCCCACCCTCTGGGACACACATATAAATCAGAGAACAATCAACATTGTAAATTATGGTTTATTCGAACAGGAGCCAGTGTAAGCCTCGCAGATGAGTGTGTGGGCTTTCGAATCAGAGGGTGATTTCTTATTCTACCACTTAAACTAGCTCTGTGACCCTGGGAAAGTTATATGACCTAAGTCTCACTAGCCTCGTCTATAAAATGGAAGTATATGTAGTAAAACCCACCTCATGGGGAAATCACAAGAATTAAGTGAGCTAACCTAATAAGCACTTAACAGCCCTCCTGGTTCATAATAAGTGGTCAGCAAATGTTCTCTGCAATGAAGATTATGATGATAAGGATGAGGAATAGTCTACTTAAATTTAATTAAAATTCAGTGAAATTTGGGGCACCTGGGTGGCTCAGTCAGTTAAGCATCTGACTCTTGATCTCAGTTTAGATCTTGATCTCAGGGTTGTGAGTTTGAACCCTGCATCAGGCTCCACACTGCACATGAAGCCTACCTTTAAAAAAAAACAAACAGGGGCACCTGGGTGGCTCAGTGGGTTAAAGCCTCTGCCTTCGGCTTGGGTCATGATCCCAGGGTCCTGGGATCGAGCCCCATATCGGGCTCTCTGCTCAGTGGGAAGCCTGCCTCCTCCTCTCTCTCTCTCTCTCTCTGCCTGCTTGTGATCTTTGTCTGTCAAATAAATAAATAAAATCTTTAAAAACAAAAAACACTAATAATAATTAAATGAAATTTAAAACTCAGTTCCTCCGTGGTACCAGCCACATTTCAAATGCTATTGAGTGACAATCTTGGGCAGCACAAATACAATGATATGGAACGTTTCTGTTATTATAAAAAATCCTATTGGAGGGGCGCCTGGGTGGCTCAGTGGGTTAAAGCCTCTGCCTTCGGCTCAGATCATGATCCCAGAGTCCTGGGATCGAGCCCCACATTGGGCTCTGTGCTCGGCGGGGAGCCTGCTTCCCCCTCTCTCTGTCTCTGCCTACTTGTGATCTCTGTCTGTGAAATAAATAAATAAAATCTTTAAAAAAAAAAAATCCTATTGGAAAAAATTCCAAATGCTTCAGAGCAAGAGTTCTTAACCAGGGATGATTTCCCAGGGATGATTATCTGGAGACCCTCTGGTCACAGCTTAGAGGGTGCCACTGGCACCTAGCAAGCAAAGGCTAGGGATACTGCCCAACATCCGTAAAGTGCCTGGGCCAGGCCCCACAACAGAATTGTCCTGTCCAAAATAGCAGTGAACCAAGATTGAGAAGCTCTGCTTTAGAGACATAATCTCATTGAATAGCCTCCACAATCTTATACGTACTCTTATTATCCATATTTTATAAACAAAACGAAGGCCTGGTGAGCTTAAGGAACTTGACCGAGGTCCCAGGTATTACGTGGCAGCGCTGGGACTTGAGCTCAAAGCTCTCTGATTTTGAACCTCTTGCTCTGAATCGCTGAGCTCAAGGGGACAGTGCCAGGGCCACACCCACTCGGTTAGAATTCTTACTGCCTCCTACCACAGAAAAGCGCATCCTCTCATGTCCTCTCTGCTGCCCTCTGGAAATACTCATGCCAGCCTGTAAGTCAGGAAACTGGCTGAGTAGCTTAGCGTTTCCATATCCTCATCTTTTTGGCCAACATGTAAAAATAGCAGGAGTGGGGATGGATATAGTTGGAAAAAAAACATTTCGAGGATTACTGGTATTTTACATTTGGAAAAATGGAGGAAAGATTGATTTTATTGGTAATATAAACCGCAGGAGCTAATACTGAGCAAAAAGCTGGTAATCTATGGTTTTTAAAAAAAGAAGTTGAGAAACAGGCTCATTGGCTTCTGATGAGAGATCTTGGAATGACTCTGCCTCCCTGACCGCTTCTCTCCTCCCAGCTGCCTCTGTCCAGAATGACCTCAACCAACGTGGCCCAGGGGGCCAGAGCACTAATTCCAAGGGGGAGACCACCTGGTCCCTGGAAGAGGAGAAGAGCAGGCTGCTGGCTGAGGCAGCAGTCGAGCTGCGGGAAGAGAACACGAGGCAGGAGAGGATCCTGGCCCTCGCCAAGCGCCTGGCTGTGCTGCGGGGCGAGGACCCTGATAAAGGTAGAGGCTGGGAAGCAGCAGCTCACTCATGTCCATCAAGCAGGCCCCCCCACCCCGACACACACACCCCCAAGCCACCCTCTACAAAATGGTGACTACTGGCCATGCTGGGTGAGATGCTGGGAATTCCTGCGCCCAGGGGTCTATTGAGCTCTGCCCAGAGCCTCAAGGAAAGTAATGGGGAGAAAGAGTAGAAAAGGAGTACATAGGAGCCATCAGGGGCCTGGAATCCCCAGTCCCTTCAGATGCAAAGTTTTCTGTTCCCGTCCCCCAGCCCTGCAGGGTGGGGCATGGAAGGGCAGGATCTGATCAGTGGCGACAGAGGCTGCCTAGCTCTGGAACAAGCGCCACTGGAAAGCAAACCAGCTCCTGGGGGGCAAAAGTACAGCTCCTCAGGGGAACTCTCCATGTTACTCGTCCTCTCCTGCTCCTGTCATTCCTTCTTCAAGTGACCCTCCAGGACTATCACCTCCCAGACAGTGACGATGAGGAGGATGAGGAGATGGCCATCCGGAGAGTACTGCAGCAGGTGGGCCCTGCTTGACCCACCTGACCAGCCCTTGTCCTGTCCCTGTCTCACTGCCCCAGCCCCCCGCCTGGCCCCATTCACCCTGCCTCTGCTCTCTGCTGAGTGGCCAGTCTGCAGCTCCCGTTCTCGCTGGGGCCCCCTCTGTCTCTGTGACCCAGACCTGCCTACTGGCCCCTGGATATAGGATATCAACCGCCACCGGCAAAAGATAAAGGGAGATGGGTTGAGAAGCTGAGGCCACAGAGCACAGAAATCCTCTTGTGGAAGAAAGTCAGGTCTAGTCCTGGAACAGGGAGCTGTACCTATTCGCTCTGCCCACAGCTCACCGAAGAAGCTGCCCTGGATGAGGCAAGTGGCTTTAACATCCCTGTGGAGCCCACTCTCCGAGCCCCGGCCCAGTCCTGCAGGGCAGAGCCTGAGGTGAGAAAAGCACCCCCACCCCGGCCGCCACCACAGCCTCCCTCCCTGACTGGCCAGCCGCTTCTGCAGCAGTCTCCCACACACCTTCCTTCTTTCCCCCATCCCTCTTTGGTCCTGGCAGGCCCAGGCCATGGCCGCCCGGCCCGAAGCTGAGGATGAGGAGCTCCCCTGGTGCTGCATCTGCAATGAGGATGCCACCTTGCGCTGCGCTGGCTGTGATGGGGACCTCTACTGCGCCCACTGCTTCCGGTGAGTACGGCTGGAATGTTCTGTTGCACTGGGAGACGTCGAGGGCCACCCGTGATCCCTGACCTGTCTCTCTCTGCTCCGCAGGGAAGGCCACGATGCCTTTGAAATTAAAGAGCACCAGACATCTCCCTACTGCCCACCTTGCACAGGCCGAGAGCACTGAGGAAACCAGGCAGGCAAGCCCACCGGCAGTGGTGCAGGCTGGTGCGCCCACCCCTGGGCCCAGCCTCGGGGTGCCCCATGGGAGAGTGAGTCAGGCTAGCCTGTTCCTGGATACGCCCCTTCCTGAACCTCAGTGTCCCCGGAAGAAGGAAGCATTCTCCATTCAAGATGGTAACTGGGGGGAGCCAGAAGGAAGGCAGAAGTCAGGAGCCCGCCACCAGCTGGGCCTGGACTGGGAGTGAGGCGTGGTAGGGAAAAGACGAGACTGAATCTAAGGGCAATGAGCTCTGAAACTTGCTCAAGGGCCCAGGACCCTTCCCTGGTACTTAGTGGATCTAATAAAAAATGTTGATGTCTTAGGCCCAGCACCTCTTCTCTTTAGAACCCTGTGGGTTCTGAGCCTCAGCCCCTGGAGAGGTGGCAAGAGCAAGATTTCCACTCAAAGTGCAGTCCTGGAGGCGCCTGGGTGGCTCAGCGGGTTAAGCCTCTGCCTTCGGCTCAGGTCATGATCTCAGGGTCCTGGGATCGAGCCCTGCATCAGGCTCTCTGCTCAGCGGGGATCCTGCTTCCCCCTCTCTCTCTGCCTACTGCTCTGCCTACTTATGATTTCTCTCTCTGTCAAATAAATAAATAAAATATTTTAAAAAAAAAATGCAGTCCTATGGAGTACGGAAAAAGGTGGGACCATCCTGCAGGCTTCTCCAGGCAGAAACAGTCCCATCTACCCTGGAGGCCGCATATGAAGTAGGCAATGGATACTCGTTCAACTGATCTGAACTGTGCATCTTGCTCTGGGCACCCCAGAGTAGCCCCCAAGCCCCAATATCTTGGATCTCTCAACCTCCCTTGTACTCAGGTGGTGCAGGCACAGACAATGAATGCCTACCCTGCTTTCTGCCTTACTCCCAAATGATGCCACCTCCCCGGGCTCCTGTCCCAACCTGCCAGCTATTCAGACCCAGTAGCTTTCCAGCAACATGCTCTTGAGCTGACTCCTGGCCTCTCAGCCTGTAACTCTTTATACCTGTCTGCTTAATTCCTGCTTTTTCTCTTTCTGCTGCTGGCTGGAGCCCGCTCAAGATAGTCCTCGGCCTGATGCCTCCTGACTCATTTAGGGGGACAGGAAGGTTAAGCCTACCCTGATGTCCCCAGACCCTGCTAGGTTTTACCTGTTACCTCTCCTCTGGGATTCAGAACTAGTATTTGCCACTTGGGCTCCTGTTGTCAGTGATGCAGGATGCTGTGTGTCCTAGTCTCGTGCCCTCTTTGGCTTCCAGCCCTTGCTAGATCATGGGCTCTAAAGCAGAACTGTGATCTTCTCTGAATGCTCAAGGCCAACTTGGGTAGATGGACGGAGGAGGTGTGGATAGAGCCTGGTGGCTCAGGATGCTGGCCCCCTGGTATATCACTTTACCCTCCCCTCCCTGCCCCTCAGGAAAGATATGCTGCACACTCCATTCAGCTGGGACTCCCAAAAGTTTTATCCACTTGGCTGCCAAGGAAAGTACCAGGCAACAGCCATGAACGGCTTCCAGAAAGCCCAGCTATGACTGCACATACACTAGGAATATCCAAATGTCCCTCCTCATCTTCCACGTTCCTTGCCTGTCCAACAGGGCTATCACCTGTGTCCTCTCAGCCCAGGATTCAAAGGTTCAGGGACAGCTTGGCATGCTGAGGCTGCTGAAGGTAGTCTCACAAGGCTTATTTCTGAGGCCGACTGAGTCTCCGGAATTTCTTGAGTTCACTGAGCAGCTCAGAGATAAAAGGCTAAGAGAGAAACACGGTTAAGATCAAAGCATGGGGTCACACCCACCCAACACACTGCCCTCCATAATCTCCCCCGACCCCAGAGGGGGTCTCCAGAGCAGGGGAAGAGGAAAAGGACATAGGGCTTTCAAACACTCCTCTTCATTAGCTGCCTCCCCTCTGGGTCCCTCTTACCCCAGACCTGCAGAACATCCCTTACCTCTGTGGGGCGGGGGCAGTTTCGGAGAATAGCCTGGGTGGAAGAGAGCAAAGAGTGGGTCCCCGACCATAGCACTTTCCCACAGGCCTCCACTCATCCCTCCCAGGAATCCTCCCCTCTGAATTGGTTCTCCCCACACCACTCAAGAAGGCAAAACCTGGCTTCCTGGGTTCCTCCCGCTCTAAGCCCAGCCCCACTTTCTACCTCCAAGTGAGTCTTCTGTTCCTCTGTGGATAGTTCCAAGAGAGCCTCCAGGTCAATCTCAGGTTCAGAAGGAGTGGGTTGATCCTGTTTGGGAATCACACAGAGTTCAGAGGGGCCTGGCCGGCTGATGTTGGAGTGAAAGTCACTGTCAGGGGTTCCTCCATCTCCTACTCTGCTTCCCATTTTCAGTCCATTTCCTCACCTTCCTCAAACCACCCATTCATTCTTCCATTCAACACTTACTGAGGTCCTACTATCTTCCATCTGAAACAGAGCTAGGGTTCTTTAAAAAGAGTGCCTGTTTGGGCACCTGGGTGGCTCAGTAAGTTAAGCATCTGCCATTAGCTCAGCTCACGATCTCAGGGTCCTGGGATCGAGTCCCACATTGGGCTCTGCTCGACAGGGAGTCTGCTTCTGGCTATCACTCTCCCTCTGTGCGTTTTTTCTCTCTCTCTCTCTCTCTCTCAAATAAATAAAATATTTTAACACCGTCTGTTTAGGGATGCCTGGGTGGCTCAGTGGGTTAAGCCTCTGCCTTTGGCTCAGGTCATGATCTCACGTCCTGGGATTGAGCCCCGCATCAGGCTCTCTGCACAGCAGGGAGCCTGCTTTCTCTCTCTCTGCCTGCCTCTATGCCTGCTTGTGATATTTCTCTCTGGCAAATAAATAAATAAAATCTTTTGGGACGCCTGGGTGGCTCAGTTGGTTGGGCAGCTGCCTTCGGCTCAGGTCATGATCCCAGCGTCCTGGGATCGAGTCCCACATCGGGCTCCTTGCTCATCAGGGAGCCTGCTTCTCCCTCTGCCTCTGCCTGCCATTCTGTCTGCTTGTGCTTGCTCTCTCTCCCTCTCTCTCTCTGACAAATAATTAAAAATAAAAAAAATAAAAAATAAATAAATAAATAAATAAATAAATAAAATCTTTCAAAAAATTAAAAATTAAAAAAATTAAAAAAAATAAAAACGCCTGTTTAATTTCAAAAGTTATGCATATCATTGGTAAGGATATAAAATGGTACAGCTGCCTTGGCAAACAGTTTGGCAGGTCTTTAAAATGTTAAATATAGAGTTATCATCTGACCCGGCAATCCCATTCCTAGATCTACCCCCGAGAGAAATTACTTGTCCACACAAATGTCTGCACGTGAATATTCATAGCACTGTTATTCATAATAGCCAAAAGGTGAAAACAACACATATCTCCATCAACCAATGAATGGATAAATAAAATATCATGTAGCCATACAAAGTTACTCAGCAATAAAAGGAACAAAGCATGGATTCATGCTACAACATAGATGAATCTTGAAAACATTTTGTTAGTGAAAGTAGCCAGTTACGAAAGTCCATATGTTATATGGACATAATTTGTATAAAATGTCCAGAATAGGTAAATCCATGGAGACACAAAGTAGATTAGTGGTTGCCTTGGGCTGGGAGTGGTGATGGTAAGGAAGGAAGTGTGGCTGCTAATTGGCACAGGGTTTCTTTCTGGGGTGATAAAATGTCCCAAAATTCAATTGTGGTTGTATAACCCTGAAGATAACTTAAAACTACTGGAAGTACACACTTTCAGTGGGTGAACTGTATGGCCTGTGAATCCTATCTCAATAAAGCTATCTTTAAAATTATTACAATCAGTGAAATAATTGAATCAATATAGAGTTTATAAAATTAAAAATGAAAGAAGCTTAAGAAAATGAGATGACAGGGGCACCTGGGTGGCTCAGTGGGTTAAGCCTCTGCTGGCAGGTCAGGTCGTGATCTCAGGGTCCTGGCATCGAGCCCCGCATCGGGCTCTCTGCTCAGCGGGGAGCCTGCTTCCCCACCCCCCGCCCGCCCCACTCTGCCTGCCTCTCTGCCTACTTGTGATCTCTCTCTCAGTCAAATAAATAAAACCTTAAAAATTAAAAAAAAAATGAGATGACAATCCATAGACTGGGAGAAAATATTCGCAGAGGATGTATCTGATAAAGGACTACTGTTCAAGAGACAAAGAGGGGCGCCTGGGTGGCTCAGTGGGTTAAGCCTCTGCCTTCGGCTCAGGTCATGATCTCAGGGTCCTGGGATCAAGCCCCACATCAGGCTCTCTGCTCAGTGGGGAGCCTGCTTTCCCCTCTCTCTCTCTGCCTCTCTGCCTACTTGCAATCTCTCTCTCTGTGTCAAATAAATAAAATCTTTGGAAAAAAAAAAAAAAAGACAAAGAATTCTTGAAACTCAACAATAAGAAAGAAACCACCCAGTTGAAAAGTGGGCCAAAGATCTGAACAGATACCTCACCAAAGAAGATATGTGGATGGATGGCAAATCGCATAAGAATTGCTCAACATCCTATGTGATTAGGAAATTGCAAATTAAGACAACAATGAGAGATACTATATACCTACCAAATTGGCAAAAAGTCCAAATCCGAATGCTGGTGAAGATATGGAATGACAGGAAACTTCATTTGTTACTGGTGGTAACGCCAAATGGTGCAGCCACTTTGGAAGACATTTTGGCAGTTTCTTACAAAACTAAATATACTCTTACTATATGATCTAGTGATCAAACTCCTTAATATCTACCCAAGTGAGCTGGAAACATATCTGCACAAAAAGGTGCTTACTTATAATTGCCAAAACTTGGAAGAAACCAATCTGTCCCTCAGTCGGTAAACGGATAAATCAACTGTGCACATCCCAGACAATGGAGTATTGTCCAGCACTAAAAGAAATGAGCTGTCAAGCAATGAAAAGACCTAAATGAACCATAAACACACAGAATAAGTGAAAGAAGCCAATCTGAAATTGGCCAGTCATACATACTATATGATTCCAACTATACAACATTCTGGAAAATGCAAAACTGTCAAGACAGTAAAAAGATCAGGAGGATTAAGGGGGAAAGTGGGATGAATAGGCGGAGCACAGAGGATTTTTAGAGCAGAGAAAATACTCTGTATGATACTATCAATGGTAGATACATGCCCTTACAAATTTGTCCAAACCCTTGAATGTACACCACCAAAAGTGAACCCTAATATAAGCTATGGACTTTGGGTGATTTTGATGTGTCAATGTAGCTTCACTGATTTTATCAGTGTACTGCTCTAGTGGGGATGTTGATAGTGGGGGAGGCTGTGCATATGTGGAGGCCCAGGGAATATGGGAACTCTATACTTTCTGCTCAATCTCCCTGTGAACCTAAAACTGCACTAAAAATTAAGTCTATTAAAAAAAAAAAAAAAGATGTGGGACGCCTGGGTGGCTCAATGGGTTAAGCCGCTGCCTTCGGCTCAGGTCATGATCCCAGCGTCCTGGGATCGAGTCCCACATCGGGCTCCTTGCTCAGCGGGGAGCCTGCTTCTCCCTCTGCCTCTGCCTGCCACTCCATCTGCTTGTGCTCACTCTCGTGCTCTCTCTCTCTCTCTCTGACAAATAAATAAATAAAATCTTAAAAAAAAAAATAAAAAAAAAAGATGTGAATTCAATGGCCAAGTTCTAATAAACTTAGTGATTTACTGCTTCGTCAAGGATTTTCTTAAGTGAAAGTGACACAGTAGTAAAGAATGTGACACTAGTGTTAGGGGTTAGTTGGACAATTAGGGTGCCGGGACAGCTAAGACAGAACTGCACTAGTCTCCTGTTTTACCACTTAGACAAGACCACAATAGCATCCTGTCTAGCAGCCTCTGCAGAAGTGACATTTGCAAAACATCCTGAAGCAAAACAACCATAAGACATTTGTCACTGTCACAAGTTGAGGCAATTAGTTTCCAAAGGTTAGCCCAAAAAGACCATCAACACATGAACAATAACCCAATAGTTAGATGGGAGCATGATCAAAGCCCTCACTGGCACACCTCAGCAGTCAGTCCACAGAGGCCCCACACTCAGGAGGTTCCAGAAAGTTCTGCAAAGAGCTTATAAAAACTCCCAGGTTTGGGGGCGCCTGGGTGGCTCAGTGGTTAAAGCCTCTGCCTTCAGCTCAGGCCATGATCTCGGGGTCCTGGGATCGAGTCCCGCGTCGGGCTCTCTGCTCAGCAGGGAGCCTGCCTCCTCCTGTCTCTCTCTGCCTGCCTCTCTGCCTACTTGTGATCTGTCAAATAAATTAAAAAAAAAAAAAATCTTAAAAAAAAAAAAAAAAAAACCTCCCAGGTGTGAATGCCAAAACAGCAACCCTCTTGGGTCCCCTCCCTGTTTGGGAGCTTTGTACTATTATTGCTCAATAAACTTTGCCTTGCTGCCCACCACTCTTTGATCTTTGTCTTCATTCTTCGAAGCACCATGACCAAGAACTGTGGGCAGTAAGGGAATAAAAATTCCTGTAACATTACTACAGGTGGGTGCCACTTTCCTTCTTATTTTGAAGTGTATTTATTTAGGTAATCTCTCCACCCAATGTGGGGCTCAAACGCACAACCCCAAGATCAAAAGTCACGTGCTCCTCCAACAGAACCAGCCAGTTGCCCCACTGCCACTTTCTGAATTCACGCTAAGGGCCACCACTGTTTTTGCAGTATCAGTGCAAATGTCAACATCGTGAAAAAGGCAACTGACACCTCAGCGTTATTACAAAAATAACCATGAACCGTCTGAAAGGGTCACCAGAATATGCTTCAAGAACTGCTGCCTTATTCATTTTCTAATAGGTCATTCATTTTTTCTCACTAAGGAGTCTTTTTTAATTCTTCTTATTATTTTTTTTAAGATTTCATTTGTTTATTTGACAGACAGAGACCACAAGTAGGCAGAGAGGCAGGCAGAGAGGTGGGGGGAAGCAGACTCCCTGATGAACAGAGAGCCTGATGTGGGGCTCAATGCCAGGACCCTGGAATCATGACCTGAGTCGAAGGCAGAGGCCTTAACTCACTGAGCCACGAAGGTGCCCCTTTAATTATTATTTTTAATTATTTTTTTTTAAGATTTTATTTATATAATTGACAGACAGTGAGAGAGGGAACACAAGCAGGGGCTGGGAGAGGGAGAAGCAGGCTTCCCATGGAGCAGGGAGCCCAAAGCAGGGGACAGGTGTCCTAGGACACCAGGACCATGACAAGAGCTGAAGGCAGATGCCCAACAACTGACTGAGCCACTCAGGTGC